GAGATAAAGAAATCAATTAATCATAATGATGCATTGGCGAATAACAAGGCCTTCTGACATACTCGTAGACAGAGTGCGAGTGGAAAGAGGGGGAGGGAAGTGGAAAGAGGGGGAAAGGAGGGAGAGGGAAAGAGGGGGGGGGAGGAGGGAGAGGGAAGGAGGGAGAGGGAAAGAAGGGGGAAAGGAGGGAGAGGGAAGGAGGGAGAGGGAAAGAAGGGGGAAAGGAGGGAGAGGGAAGGAGGGAGAGGGAAAGAGGGGGGGAAGGAGGGAGAGGGAAGGAGGGAAAGGGAAAGAGGGGGGGGGAGGAGGGAGAGGGAAGGAGGGAGAGGGAAAGAAACGAGCGAACGGCAAAGTAGGAGAGAGGGAAAGTAAGTGAACGCGCGAGATCGAGAGAATGCGAAAGTAAAAGAGAAAGAGGAAAACAAAAACAAAAGGCAAAAGAGTAAGAGAGAGAAGGAACGAGCACGGGCGGACGAGGGGAGCGGCCAAGACAAGAGGGCCCTCTCCACTTCCTCACTCACTCACTCACTCACTCACTCACTCACTCACTCACTCACTCACTCACTCACTCACTCACTCACTCACTCACTCACTCACTCACTCACTCACTCACTCACTCACTCACTCACTCACTCACTCACTCACTCACTCACTCACTCACTCACTCACTCACTCACTCACTCACTCACTCACTCACTCACTCACTCACTCACTCACTCACTCACTCACTCACTCACTCACTCACTCACTCACTCACTCACTCACTCACTCACTCACTCACTCACTCACTCACTCACTCACTCACTCACTCACTCACTCACTCACTCACTCACTCACTCACTCACTCACTCACTCACTCACTCACTCACTCACTCACTCACTCACTCACTCACTCACTCACTCACTCACTCACTCACTCACTCACTCACTCACTCACTCACTCACTCACTCACTCACTCACTCACTCACTCACTCACTCACTCACTCACTCACTCACTCACTCACTCACTCACTCACTCACTCACTCACTCACTCACTCACTCACTCACTCACTCACTCACTCACTCACTCACTCACTCACTCACTCACTCACTCACTCACTCACTCACTCACTCACTCACTCACTCACTCACTCACTCACTCACTCACTCACTCACTCACTCACTCACTCACTCACTCACTCACTCACTCACTCACTCACTCACTCACTCACTCACTCACTCACTCACTCACTCACTCACTCACTCACTCACTCACTCACTCACTCACTCACTCACTCACTCACTCACTCACTCACTCACTCACTCACTCACTCACTCACTCACTCACTCACTCACTCACTCACTCACTCACTCACTCACTCACTCACTCACTCACTCACTCACTCACTCACTCACTCACTCACTCACTCACTCACTCACTCACTCACTCACTCACTCACTCACTCACTCACTCACTCACTCACTCACTCACTCACTCACTCACTCACTCACTCACTCACTCACTCACTCACTCACTCACTCACTCACTCACTCACTCACTCACTCACTCACTCACTCACTCACTCACTCACTCACTCACTCACTCACTCACTCACTCACTCACTCACTCACTCACTCACTCACTCACTCACTCACTCACTCACTCACTCACTCACTCACTCACTCACTCACTCACTCACTCACTCACTCACTCACTCACTCACTCACTCACTCACTCACTCACTCACTCACTCACTCACTCACTCACTCACTCACTCACTCACTCACTCACTCACTCACTCACTCACTCACTCACTCACTCACTCACTCACTCACTCACTCACTCACTCACTCACTCACTCACTCACTCACTCACTCACTCACTCACTCACTCACTCACTCACTCACTCACTCACTCACTCACTCACTCACTCACTCACTCACTCACTCACTCACTCACTCACTCACTCACTCACTCACTCACTCACTCACTCACTCACTCACTCACTCACTCACTCACTCACTCACTCACTCACTCACTCACTCACTCACTCACTCACTCACTCACTCACTCACTCACTCACTCACTCACTCACTCACTCACTCACTCACTCACTCACTCACTCACTCACTCACTCACTCACTCACTCACTCACTCACTCACTCACTCACTCACTCACTCACTCACTCACTCACTCACTCACTCACTCACTCACTCACTCACTCACTCACTCACTCACTCACTCACTCACTCACTCACTCACTCACTCACTCACTCACTCACTCACTCACTCACTCACTCACTCACTCACTCACTCACTCACTCACTCACTCACTCACTCACTCACTCACTCACTCACTCACTCACTCACTCACTCACTCACTCACTCACTCACTCACTCACTCACTCACTCACTCACTCACTCACTCACTCACTCACTCACTCACTCACTCACTCACTCACTCACTCACTCACTCACTCACTCACTCACTCACTCACTCACTCACTCACTCACTCACTCACTCACTCACTCACTCACTCACTCACTCACTCACTCACTCACTCACTCACTCACTCACTCACTCACTCACTCACTCACTCACTCACTCACTCACTCACTCACTCACTCACTCACTCACTCACTCACTCACTCACTCACTCACTCACTCACTCACTCACTCACTCACTCACTCACTCACTCACTCACTCACTCACTCACTCACTCACTCACTCACTCACTCACTCACTCACTCACTCACTCACTCACTCACTCACTCACTCACTCACTCACTCACTCACTCACTCACTCACTCACTCACTCACTCACTCACTCACTCACTCACTCACTCACTCACTCACTCACTCACTCACTCACTCACTCACTCACTCACTCACTCACTCACTCACTCACTCACTCACTCACTCACTCACTCACTCACTCACTCACTCACTCACTCACTCACTCACTCACTCACTCACTCACTCACTCACTCACTCACTCACTCACTCACTCACTCACTCACTCACTCACTCACTCACTCACTCACTCACTCACTCACTCACTCACTCACTCACTCACTCACTCACTCACTCACTCACTCACTCACTCACTCACTCACTCACTCACTCACTCACTCACTCACTCACTCACTCACTCACTCACTCACTCACTCACTCAGAGGGAAGAGGAGAGTGAGGGGAGAGGAGTGACAGGGGAGAGAGGGGGAGGAGTGAGGGTAGGGAAGAGAAGAGGACAGAGAGGGGAAGAGGAGAGTGAAGGCAGCGAGGGGAGAGCAAAGAGAGGGGAAAGAGGGAGGGGAGGGGGGTGGAAAGGGCCGCCCTCAAGAGGTCTATCGTGAATAACCCGAAAGAAGAATCAAGTGCGCCCTTCACCTTTACAACTCTTGATTATTATCCTTGAACGAAACCTCAAAACTCACCCTCGCCCTCGCCCTCTCCCTCGCCCTCTCCCTCACCCTCTCCCTCTCCCTCGTCCACCCTCCTCGCACCCGACGCCAGTTCCCTTACTTTCCTTACAAATCATTGCCTTCATCACTATCACTATAGCCACAACCATTATATTATTCATCATATTCATCACAAATTCCAACACTATTACCACCACCATCCTTATCATCGCAATTATATCACTATCGCCACCACCATCATCTTTATCTTCACATATACAATCCCTATCATCACCACCACCATCACAATCCTCGCCACCATCTCCATCATAATCATCACCACCATCTCCATCATCATCACCATCACTATCATCTTCTCACCATCTCCATCAACCACGATCCCCGCCATTATCATATTAAAAAAATACTTTTGCTAAATATAAACATCATATCGGCGTTTAGTGCAGATCAAAACTTATCCGCTCTTTTATGACTAACCGGCACCCCTTTTCATAATCTTTCACGTCCTCAAATGATAGATAGATAGACAGATAGATAGACAGATAGATAGAATGAGTGAGAAGAAGTGTGGGTAAGTGTTGGAGGAGGGGGAAGGGAGGGAAGGGAAGAGAAAGAGGGAGGGAGGGAGGGGAAGAGAAGGAGGAAGGGAGGGGGAAGGGAGGGAGTAGAAGAGAGGAAGGAAGGGAAGGGGAAAAGCGAGAGGAAGAGCAGAGAAGAGAAGAGGGAGGAAGGGAGGGGGAAGAGCGAGAGGAAGAGCAGAGAAGAGAAGAGAAGAGAAGAGAGAGAGAGCAGACGATGCAAAGGGGTGGAAACAAAAGAGGACCTCATAAAGCTTCATAAAACGGGAAAAATCAAACAGAAAAAAGAAGGGAAAATAGAAGAAAAAGAAGAGAGGAAGGAAGAGGGGAGGAAAACCCGGATCTTGTGACACGGGTGAACAAAAACTCCGTCCCCGTCACTCCATCCTGTCACCCTTTCCGGCTACTCTTCCCTTCACCCTTCCTCTCCCACCCTTTCCTCCACCCTTTCCCCTCACGCCCTCCTCCCTCTACCCGTTCCTAAATCCCTTCCTGTCACCCCTCCCTTCACCCAATCCTATATCCTTCCTCTCACCCATTCCCATATATCATTTTTAAAACCTTTCATTTACCTATTCCTAAATCCACTTCGCCATTCTTCCCTTTACCCCTTCCTCTCTCCTCTTCCTCTATCCTTTCCTGCTATCTCTCCCTTCACCCATTCCTCTATCCCTTCTTGTTATCCTTCCCTTTATCCATTCCCGTTATGCTTCCTGCCTTTCTCCCTGCACCATTTCCTGTCAATTTCCCTTCACCCTGCCACCTTCCTATCACCCACATTTCCCCGATCTCGAGACATTCTACCCATATCAATATCTACAAAGCAAAACTAAAAAAATAAATAATTTGATAAATAATAAAAAAAAAAAAACAACGCTCAGCCCATCCTTCTGTATATCCTTAACTGCTTGACAAACTGGCCACGAGATTCTGTTCTCCTCCAAACTCCAACAATCTCACGTTTTCTTTCTTTCCGTTTTCGATCCGTCAATGGATCATCCGTTTTCCATCC